CATTCTGGAGGTACATAGTAATTGTATTCACAAAAATACTTACCCGCAATGCTGATGGAACAGTGAGTTGATTGGAATTGTTACAACCAGGAAAAAACATTGATTTTGTGTGAGTGGTGCTCTTACAAAATTAGGCAGCAGTATATTGTATGATGTATGATCTAAGCTTTGTTGTTCTAGGTTCAATACATTACTCACTTTAGATTGCTACAAGGATGGACTAGATGATTCAGATGGTTCCCGTTCTAAAGTTTAACGTGTTGCTGCTTTATCAATCCTTCGCAATCATGACACTCACGCGATGACGATGGCAACTGAAATAATATTAAATAAAAAAAATAAGACAAAGTGAACAAAATAAAATAGATTTGTTTACTTTAAACTCAAATATAGGTAAATGTTACTTAAAACTTAATGCCCTATATTATTTAATAATTAAGGACTGACTGCCTACCAGTAGTCCAAAAACAATTAAAAATCGACTGTCTTATTTCTTGATATTTGATAAAAATTGTCCATTTCGTAACTATCTGGTGTTAGCTAGCTAATCTTATCGCCGTGTTACAAATAAGCTATTTTGTTTGTCAGGTATAGCTTGTGCATATGTTAAAAAATAAAACAACTTCATCATTTCATACATTCATCACTATCAAATATCAGCACTAGAATTAATAAATTAAAAACTGTTGAACACTTACTTTTAAATGTTGTCACACTATAATGTGATCGACAATCTCACTCCATATGAGTTCTTGAGAATTTATTTGAAAAATAACAAACAAAATAACACAATGGCAACTATTTAGTTGTGAATTCACTAGTACCTTTTTACTTGTTGAATTGTGATTTCATTTCGCATGACATATTTCCTATAGCTGTCAGATTTGATGGTGCCACATAACTAACATAAATACAACGAAACAATATCGATTTGTATTCGATTAGTAATTTAATGAAAAAATAATAATATTTGAGTTTCGCTTTCAGTTCTACACGCTTTTTAAAATATATTTTCTTTTATTTTTTTAAATTATGTTTTAAACGTATTTTTAAGAACAGTTAAAATGTGGAGTAGCGTATTGTTATGCTCTAAACAGTTCATGGTAAATCAGCTAAAAATTCACTTGTTTAATTATCATAACATGATTCCATTTTAAATGTATTGTTAAAACAGATAACAATAACAGTTAAATTGTGCAGTAGCATTTTATTGTACTCTAAAGAATTCATAGTAAATCAGCTAGTAATTCGCTTGTTTAATTATCATAACATCATAATATCCATAGCGATTCGATTATTATTCGATTAATAATTTCATAAAAAGAGAATAATCTTGGAGGTGTTTTAACTTCTGCTCGCTTTTTAAAATGTATCTTCCTTTTTTATTTAAATTCTATTTTAAGTGTATTTTTAAGAACAGTTAATTGTGCAGTAGTGTTTTATGAAGCTCTAAAAAATTCATGGTATATCAGCTAGAAATTCACTTGTTTAATTATCGTAACATGATTTCATTTTAAATGTATTGTTAAGAAAAGATAAGAATAACAGTTATATTGTGCAGTAGCGTTATGTTATACTGCATAGAATTCATTGTAAATCAGCTATTAAATCGCTTATTTAATTATCATAACTACAGATGTGAAGGCGGTTGTTAACGTTTTCAACCAAGCCGATAACAACGGTTGTTTTTGTCTTGAAATTGATAAAAATTGTGCAGTTGCGTTTTGTTAAGCTTTAACCTTTTGAGCGCCACGCCAAAAACGCATTACCGTGTCCTGTACGCCAAAGCGCCAAAACAAAATAGTGTTGCCAAGAGTTGATATATCGATAACGTGAAATAACTTGTTTTTGTTGGTTTTTTATGCTATAAATGACTCTTAATAAACTGTATATTTTATTTAATCTTGTGCCGTCTTCCACTCTTTTTATAAATGTACTTTGTACATATAAACATAAATAAAAAACAAACAATAACAATAAAATAGTAGTAAACATTAGCACTACTCTCCATCCTAATGACGACACTGTCGCGACTGGACGACAACGGCGTAGCTGACCTTCCCTTTTGAAACATTCTTAGAATGTTGTGTATCGATTTCAAAATCGATCTAACCGAAATATACAGACATCGATTCATAATATTTTATGTGTCGGGGAAGGCGTAGGCCAAGTGACGCACAGAAGAAAAGTCTTACACTCTTATGAAAATGGGGATTTGATATGATGCTGATTCTGCTAGATGATTTTGAGACTGAGAAAGAAAATGGCACAACACAAAATGAAAAATTGCTCTTCACACCTTAATTAAAAAAAACATTAATTGTAATTTTGTATTATTATTAAAGAAGGTACATAATTATTCATTAATCAACAATTGTATATAATTATTCGCACTAGGTAAATCAGCCGTTTAATACTAAAATCTTGGTCATGGAATAAATAAACATATTTGTTCACCAATCAATCAAAAATTCAATTCATCAATCAAAAATCAAAATTCATCATCATCGACGCTTTCCAAAATCCGAATGAGTTCTGAGGAATCGTTCATGTTGCATTGCTCTACTTTTCTCGGTAATCACTTATGACGTCATCAGGGTGTCGTCTATCCTTGATCACGGTGCCCAGTGAACTGATTTTCGATGACGCGCTAAAAATGCGCTAGAGTTGAGATATTAGATTTATTATGCGAAGATAATCTGATAACATTTTTTTATTCATGTAGCTAATTATAGTTTTATGTTTATAACCTTTAATTTTATTCAAATATCAATAATAATAGAAAAAAAACACCATTGAGCTGAATTTTGGATAGTTTTCAAGAAATCTATGCCTCCCGCGTTTGACACTAGCGGTCAACCATATACGACTTTGGCGTGCTGGACATAGTATTTGCTTAGATAAAAATCCATTTTTATTAGTTCAATGTTTCTTAGTACTTGTGGCTCTAGAAGACTTGTTTTTATACTCACATGTTGCTGGGTTATTCCTATTTTGAGGAGTGTAGAATTAAAATACCTGTAATAATTTTCCAATATCTATATTTCATATTTTTCGGAGCCGGGTTTTTTGTCAACTATAGACGTCGTTGGCGCTCAGGGCCCGCAGGTGTTGGTCAAGTATAGGCGACTTTGCCGCTCAAAAGGTTAAAGAATTCATGGTAAATCAGCTGGAAACTAACTTGTTTCGTTATCATAACATGATTCTATTTTAAATGTGTTGTTATAAACAGATAAGAATAACTTAACCGATCTTCTTTAAAAACAGATAAGAATAGCAGTTCTTATCTGTTTTCAAAGAAGATCGGTTAAGATTAACAGTTAAATTGTGCCGTAGCATTTGTTACTCTCTAAAGAATTCATTAGAAATCAGCTAGTAATTCGCTTGTTTAATTATCGTAACATCATAATTATTTAAAAATTATATTAGCACTGTAATGATGACACCGTAAATAATCGATCGAAAAAGAGAATCGATTTTTTCAAATGTGTTTTGTGATTGGCAACACTTTTTTTTTATTCACAAACTAATGACAATGATTTACCTAATTTTTATTATTATGTTTCCGGTACTTTTAATTTGTGCAAAAATATTCTCATTGTTTGAGGATAAATGAATACCGCGATTAATAACCATAAATAAAGATATAATTTTTTAATAAATTCACATTGTTGGGCGTTCCATGGCCGAAAATGGGCGTCCCCCTTTGATTAATTTGGATCCCTGGGTGGTTTAAATCTACGTTTAGAGGCGGTAGGTGACACTGTTGTCAACATTCATAAACCACCCGCGCAAAATCGTAAAAGTAAAGTAAAAGTAAAGTTACAGCCTATATACGTCCCACAGCTGGGCTCAGGCCTCCCCTCATTTCTGAGAGGGTTTAGGGCAAGGAAGTGTCCGCCGTGCTGCCCCAATGCGTGTTGACGAATTTCACATGTCCTCGAAATACTTTTTTTCTTATTCCTCAGACATGCAGGTTTCTTCACGATGTTTTCCTTCACCGCCGAGCACGTGGTAAATCAGCACTTAAAATTGCAATTAACAATTTCATTGGTGCCGGCGGGGATCGAACCCGGGTTACTCGGGTTCTGTTATATTTACAGCGAGCGTTAACCACTGAGCTACCACGGCTCTTGCAAAATCGTAAAATAATATTAATTTATTTATATATAAATAAATATCTAATGACGGCGTTTGTTATATATATTGTGTAAATGCCACCAAAAAATCATCCCCTGGGTATCATGAAAGATGACAAAAAGAGATTGACCAGGAGACGGGCAGCAGTATCTTCCTAAGAATAACTAAAAATAGTAAAAAAAACTGCGGTTGCCAAGTTGCCTGCCAAGTGTGGCAACTATGGCAATATTATACCCCATTGAGGCAAAAGTGGAAATGAGATAGACTTTTATGATGATGATATAAATAAATATAAATACTACAGGTCAGGTAAATATATGTTAAAGAAAAATATTGATGAAATATTGATTGATGAAGAGGAAAAACATTAAGATAGTGTTCAGCATTAAATATATTGACTTCAATGAATTGCACAAGTTAATACAGGGACACTTGAAAAAATTATTTAAGATTACTATAAAAGCTTACTCACCAGTACTGAACAGTACAACGTTCCATTGTGCAAACCAGTTGTAATAAAAGAGGTAATAAAAATGATATACTACGTCTGATCTTATTTTGAGAAACAACCGACATATGTAATTCCCTATAAAACAAACAAACATGACACAGAAGACATGTATCAAGCGAAGATTAAATTATTTCATACAGAGGTCTGTTAACAATATTTGAAATAACATTAAAAATCTCGTAGATGACAAACATGAATAAAATATACACGTCATTTGCAAAGGCAATGGGTGGAGCTGTGTTGAAGAGGGGCACACAGAAGTCGATCGTTCAGTGCATGTTTTTAATGCACCAACCCTATCCTTATTTTCGCCATATTGATTGTTTTATTACGTACATTTAATTCTTGACTAAACACATCTTAGTCGCGGAGTGTGGGGTGAGCGACCCATTGCGTTATCAATACTCATAATATACTCGAATAAACCCAGCTTTTTCACCTCTAAATATTTATCATTTAGTTGTAATAATACGCTTTTAATTTAGATCACATACATAATAATTTTATCGGTTGGTTTTTTTTTATTAAACCGATTATCTTCTTATCTATATATAAAAATCAATTGATATCCGTTAGTCTCGCAAAATGTTTGATATTTTGTGTGTATTTGAGTCGGTGGTTGGTTCTCTGGATGGTTTAAAAACTTGGCTGGATCTAGAAATCACCCGTGCAAAGCTGGGATGGATCGCCTGTTTTAAATATATATTACTTTTTGCGTAATTTATGGATAATGGTGTAATATAATGGTTAATGAAGGATTAGGAGATGTTGCCATACTCACACTAACCATGTAGTCATAAGGTCATATAGTCGCGATCATAAGCGTCGAAAATAAGCTATGCCAGAAATACCTCATTTCAAATTTTAACATTTTTTTTTTGAGTTTTATTCACAATCACCTTTAGAATACTAACTTACACCCACTCATCTCGCGTTTAATTAAATGCTTAGAATTTTTATACAGAACTTGGGCCCTAGAAACACGTGGGTAAGCCACGTATAAAAAACGTAAAACAGAAGCATTAATTTCGACATTATAGTTGTCGTAGTGGGGAGTGTGGTCCTTCTTCGGTAGAGCTGACTCATTCGTAAGGAAAATATATTTTTATACAAATTTTCTTCAATAAATCTAGATAGACAACACAACGACGTTACAGACATTCAACCTACATTGCAGCGACGACACAGACACATTGTTCTGCTTCAACAACCCCCGGCACGCAGCGCGCCGTCACACAAACACGTGAACTGATATAACGATAGCTGCGTTGGCTGTGGTGTCTGCAGGTCGCAGACAAAACATTTTATAGCAGAGTATACATAGACAAAAAGTTCTATTTATGTATCTCTACTTTCATTTACCAACACTCTTTGATGCAGTGCTATTGCATGTAATGCTTATACGTAGTATATAATTTTAGTTGTAAACTAATTTATATTAGGGTGACAGACGTAACTGTATGCTGTGACCCACAGAAATCTACATTTATCCACTATTAAGAATGAAAATGCAAATGCGTTGTCACCCGAAAACTAAGATGGATTACCTCGTTTCCAGTAAAAGTAAGAGCGTGGTTCTACCCTGGCCGACCCAATCGTACTACAACCCTAATATAGCAGCAGCATAGCTCTATCGCGTTAAAACTAGTGGGTTATATGCATATACAATATATAGGCTGCAAATTGCACGTAAGAAGTAAAATGTACCTTCATTTTTGATTTAAAAACCGAATATTTCTAAAGTAGCAGACGTTGACATATTAGCGTGGATTTTCTGAAAATTGTAAAGCGCTATCGTTTCGCCTGCAATATTGGTGGGACGTAAGTTCTATAACCACATTCATGTAATAACGGCAATGAATCTCTGAAGCCACTATCTAAAATGAATGCATCACCAGCCTGAAAGTATTCACGTAGCATTGAACTAGGATCACGAAACTCATGATTAATGATATCTGCATCTGATGTGGTAGTAGGATAGGGACCCATTACATCAATAATATGACCGTCTGCACATACAATCATTAATGGCTTTACCAAGTTATTATACTTATGCAAACTATAAGTTCTTTTTTGGTACAAATAATTTGAACTTTTTTCTATAGAGCAATACGTTCCATCAATTATTATTACAGGTTTATTTTCCCCGTTGTAGTTTCCAAATAAACCGCGTGGTATCAACAAGGTTCTGTCAACAATTTGCTGACGATTTATATGGTTAAGTCCTAAATGCCTAGGTACAAAATATTTATATAGTAAGTGACGAGCTTCAGACACATATCCATCAAGAGTTCTTGTAGGAATGTTAAACAGAGCTGATATTCTCTCATTGGAATCACCGGTTCTCAGCTTTATCAAATATGCTGCTAACCCAATAGGGCCCGATGACTTTTGCAGCAATTGTGGCACTTCATCTAAAATCCTTTGATACTGCTCTTTCGTAAAGCCTAACCTCAATGGTGCACTAAATGTTTCCAGATTAAGAATATTGATGAAATCAAGGCCAACATTTGAGTGACTTTTTAATTCTAGCATGTTTTGAATATGCAATGCTGTAAACACATTAACATAATTTTCTAAAGCTCCAGCGAGAAAATCCCAAGATTGCGTATTAATGTGGTGGTTGCATAATCTAGTTTTTATGGACATAGAAGTATAGACATCTAACAACATTCTCCTAGTTGTAACAGGAACTCTATTCCTCCCTTGTCTCCGACAACCTTCAATAAAACAGCGAGATTCAGTTTCTACTGCTCTTACATAGTCAGGTAACACTATAGCTTCACTCAGCCTGGGTGTAGCTTCTGAAATAGCCTGTGAAGTAGACTGCAAAGTATCCTGTGAAGTAGACTGCAAAGTAGCCTGTGAAGTAGACTGTAAAGTATCCTGTGAAGTAGACTGCAAATTATCCTGTGAAGTAGACTGCAAAGTAGCCTGTGAAGTAGACTGCAAAGTAGCCTGTGAAGTAGACTGCAAAGTAGCCTGTGAAGTAGACTGCCAAGTATCCTGTGAAGTAGACTGCAAAGTAGCCTGTGAAGTAGACTGCAAAGTAGCCTGTGAAGTAGACTGCAAAGTAGCCTGTGAAGTAGACTGCAATGTAGCCTGTGAAGTAGACTGCAAAGTAGCCTGTGAAGTAGACTGCAAAGTAGCTTGTGAAGTAGACTGCAAAGTAGCTTGTGAAGTAGACTGCAAAGTAGCCTGTGAAGTAGACTGCCAAGTATCCTGTGAAGTAGACTGCAAAGTAGCCTGTGAAGTAGACTGCAAAGTAGCCTGTGAAGTAGACTGCAAAGTAGCCTGTGAAGTAGACTGCAAAGTATCCTGTGAAGTAGACTGCAAAGTAGCCTGTGAAGTAGACTGCAAAGTCAATTCCTCTTGTTCACTTGTTTCATATACTGATGTTGAGGATCCAGAAGGTGCAGATACAAAATGATGGGCGTTTCTATCAGCTCTCACCCAGCAACTGTGACATATGAGAGCTCTTTTTCTTGAAATCTAAAACAATAACTTTATAATAACAAACCTTTGTCTGAGAAAGAATATAACTAGCGAAATGCGGGTGTACTGCACTCCTCTGCCTTATCTCTTGGGGGAATACAGGCACGATGTTATGTTGTGTTATATATAAAACATTGTAATCATGGTTAAAGTGAACATTTGTATTTATTAATACTGACTATACATTACCATTATCATCTGCCTAGTCTTTCCCCAACTACGAATTTGACCCCAAGGTTGACGTTTAGTCTATCTAGATGCAACTGAATACCAGTTTTTTACATTGGTACCCCTAGGTAAGGCTGGTTGTCAGACTTTCGGGCTTCTATGAATTACCATACTATAGTATAAAAAATAAAAAGCAACTGATCCCAATTAACACTTACAGTACGAGGCAAAAGCCATTCACAAATGACTGTATAAATCCTTCTTTATTGTTCAGTGCCAGTATGCAATAAATGAGATCTGGCACGCAATACTAAACGTCCACAGTTGACACACATTTGACGATGTCCAGTTGTTGCACATGAAAGATGCTCATCTATGTCCAAAGAATGTATTACTAAAGTCCTGCATTCTTGGCAAATGCGATGAGAACTGTTGACCTACAACAATATTAGTTTGTTACTTATAGTGCCCGGCAAGAAATAATATAGATACATAGAAGTAAGTGAGACTTAGCTAGAATTATTCGTTGCACAAAGTACTGGCTAGATACAGACAACAGTGAGAGGATGACAGTGTTTAAAAAACCAATGCCAGCCGAACTCATTTTCCGAGTGTCTTTCTGAATCCTATGTGTTCTTATTATTTCTTGCCGGTATTGAGATTACATTAAGATTATATATTTAATACAGTGTAAATTATCCTATTGTTGCTTAATTAAATTGCTCAATTTTTTATAACTGTGTTATTAATATGAAAAGAACTACGTTAACATTTTGTGGCGTCATATAGTATTTTTACTAAAAGAGCTTTATGAAATAAATGCCATTAATTGACGATCAAACCGTCCAGTAAATCTTGTATTAAATGTATTATTTCTATCATAGAGTTAATATAGTGATTTAAGAATAAAAATAAAATACGGTACAGCAAAATGTGAAGTTGTAATAAAATAAACTATACTTACCACTTGAGGTGCAACCCATTGCTCTATCACTGAAAGAATGCTTTCGTCTTCTATTTTATGTAATCCTATAGGATTACGCAGTTGATACAATGATGTTGATCAGTCATTTTATTTTAATTCGAAATCCGTTATATGAAGCTGAGATAAGTCGAGTAGCCAAGATAACTAAGTCCGTTGTAAGAAATGCGTGGGTGGTTCGTCAAAGTAATAACAGTCAGAATCCTTTATAAGTAGCCAGAGTCGTTAAAGATCACAATATTATCACAGCACATGAAAACAACAGAAAATATTCACTACCGCCGTAAGCTCAGAGCCAAACGAACGAAGTAAATGATTTGATTGAGGTTTGAGTTTTTTAATGAATTAACATTGACATGATTTCCGCTTAGTGGCCTGTATTAAATATTGATAATCGATTGTGAAATCGATTTATTAACTTATTCAGTCAAGTCAATTATTACGATATTTTTGAAACATAGAAGAGTCAGGGGAAACCTTTATTTAAATAATAAGTTTTTTAATTTTATCTAAAGAATAAAACACTGAATCACTTTTTTATTTAACTACTATTTCATCCGCCATTTAAAAATGAAAACAACGGAAGTCAGTATTATTTTTATTTAATATTTAATTTCTTTTCCCATGATAAAACTGCTTAATATTTCATTATTAATTACAAAAAAACTGTAAAAAAATATTGATAAATATTTCACTTGTGTAACGGTTAGGCCCAAATTCGCCCGTCTCCTTTATATATTAACGTTGGCCTCTCAATACATATATGAAAATGTAATGTACGTACACAGAAATTAACGTGGTTTTGCAAAAATAAGTGATATTCATTCTGTAATTAGAGAAACAGACACAATTATATATAAAAATTGATATAGCAACTGATTAATGCACGGGGTTCCTGATGAACCAACGAAAATCCATCCAGAAACGTTGAAGCCTATTTGAAACGAAATGAAAACTTTTTCTTCTTTATTATTCGATGTAAGAAATTTAAATTGCATGCGTCAAATGTAAATATAAATTTTTAAGAACGGACAAATACGTTTTTTTCAGTAAACTTTATAACGAAATCTAGTTTTTTTAAATAACTGTTTTCACCATTACACTTGTCGATAGCATAGTCTTTAAAGTACTCGGGCTATTATAGAGGAATAATATGTTTTACTCAGTTCTGTTACGATATCACAGGTTTTGTGTTAAATCATGTGTATGTTTTATATTTTCAGTAACTAATGTTACTTACATTCTGTTAATCAAATAAAATTAACATTACGAATGCGGAGCCACAGTGTACAAAGTCGTGTAATCAATTCATTTGTAACTTGTTTGTCCTCTTGGTTTCACTGACATGTAAAATTCATAAACCACGCCTCATTCCCTCAAAAAGCTTAATGGTATATCGTTCTCCTCACGTTAGTGAGATTGCAGCACCTACAGTTCGCGACCACAATAAAAGTTACAGCCCAAGGTGCTACGGCTGTACGGAAAAGGGCCATCTTCGACCCAGCTGCCCTAAGCGATCTGTCAAAAGTGAAGGTGATACATCTCGAAAGGGTAGTGCGGCTTACAGCATCGCCCAGCAGCAGCAGAAATACGACTTTACTATCGGACACTGCAGCAAGAAATGGCGAGGCAATACAGATGCATTGTCAAGAAGACCACCAAGCCCAAGTGGAGCGACGTCTCAGCGATGAGTTCGACCACTAAAAGCTATTAGACCCAATGGTACAGCTTGCTGAGTCAGGATGGAGTCCTGTGCCGTAAATGGGAAAATGGTCAAGGAGACAGCTGTCGTTTGCAAATAGTTGTCGCTAAAGCTAAAGTGCCGGATGTTCTACAGCTGTACCATAATGGTTGTTCAGGAGTCCATCTGTGAGTTAAACAAAATCTACTAAAGATCCGAGAACAATTTTACTGGGCCTAATATCATGACGATGTCGAGGATTGGTGTCGAACATGTACAAGTTGTGCGGCTGTGAAGGGACCTCAGACTCGTAGTAGAGGAGCATCGAAATTGTACAATGTTGGTGTACCATGGAAAAGGACACTCCTTGACGTTGCGGAGCCGCGGAATTAAGGTGCAAGAGGGACTCCTAAGATCGTCCATGTGGATCGCCTGGCGCGTTATTACGGAGCCGATAATACTCGGGACGAGCATTTCTTAAAAGGGGGCAGTGTTGCGCGCCTAAGTTGACGTCACGTACCTGGCACTAGCGCCATCTAGTGTCGGGGAATAGAGTGAGGAGGGATTCCTAGAAAATGCAAATCTTGCACTTTCCACCCACAGCGCCATCTAGTATCGAACAGAAGAATTAAGCTTTCTAGAAGGGTCCACTCTCGAACTTTCTGAACTTAGTCGATTGGGGGCCCATATTTGCTGGAATATTCTGGTTGTTTCGATAGAAAAGGTGTATTTAAAGCCGCCGCAAGCCACCATCGGGGCAGTATTGAATTTGTCGATACAAGTGAAGCTTTGGAGCGAAATAAAGTGAATCAGTGTGATTAATTATTCGTGTCTTTTAAGTTTTAATTGGTGTTCGGTAATAAAAGTGTAAATTTTGGTAATTCAATCGGCAGTTTTTATTGTCACGAACATCAAGCTCGTAATATTATTAATTAAAGAATAAGATATGAGGCTCGATGATTACGTAAATTAAAGAAGTTTTACACTAAAGTTCTTTTTTCCTATTAGTAAATGAAAAGATTTAAAGTAAAAGTCTGAGGAAGAACTCCAAGAAGTTCTATGAGCGTGTTTATAATTAACAACAAAGCAAAGCTTAAGTAAGTACGAGTTAATAACTTAACTGTCAAAAATAAATCCTTTGTCTCACGCGAAGTCAACGCAAGGCGTACTTTATTCATATTACGTTAAATTAAACTTCTGAAATATTCAGTGTGACCTCTATGTTAACTTTTAAAGTAATCAATATAAAGTGGAATTGACGTACTGGCGAACTCTTAATTCGGTGTTGCACAGAAATAAACTTGCACAGAATGCCGTGGGACCCAGTGAGGTTTCTATTAGGTACAATTTTTAAAAATCCCACTGCTGAACATGAATCTCTCTACAGGTCTCCGTCATAAGGGGAATATTTGTTAGAGTTTCCGCGCTTAGCAGTAGAGTTGGCAAGCGCAGTTTTTTATTTAAAGTTGTTACTGGGAAGGCGCTGTTGCACGTATTCTGGCTTGTTTCCCTCTGTCGCCTTTTGTGAGAGCCACGGAGCGATATGGAGCAGTGGATATTGTTACACCACTACAGCACAAGATTTCTTTACGACAAACTAATCGAGCAGTTAAAGCTTTTCTTTATTTATTGCTCAGTATACAGGCTTTGAAGTTGCATCCAGTATAAATTCATTCAGGTCCAACCTCACATGAGAAGGCTTTTCCTTATTTATTGCTCAGTATATAGGCTTTGAACTTGCATACAGTATAAATTCATTCAGGTCCAACCTACCATGAGAAGGCCTTTCTTTATTTTTTGCTCAGTATATAGGCTTTGAAGTTGCATACAGTAGGTATGAATTCATTCAGGTCCAACCTCCCACGAGCAAAGAGTGCTATCAGGATTCTGGAAAACGTGTGAATCCTTTCCATTTCATCCAGCGAGAAAATACATTAAGAGCATAATTATTGATAGGCCTTGAGTACAAGCAAATATGAGGGAATATCTATTAAATTTAGTTTGTAACTATCTTAAAGTTTTATGAGGGTAGTAACTATAACACGTAAGATTCTTACTTAAGATACCCCCGAAATAATTAGCTTAAAAACGTTAAACGTTAAAACTTAACGTAAATAAACTTATATTTGCAAAATAAACAGATTATATTTGTTTTGAAATACAGTA